GGAGGATACAAGACAGACAGGAGCATAGAGACACTGTGTACAAGCAACAGACAGACAGGAGCATAGAGACACTGTGTACAAGCAACAGACAGACAGGAGCATAGAGACACTGTGTACAAGTAACAGACAGACAGGAGCATAGAGACACTGTGTACAAGTAACAGACAGACAGGAGCATAGAGACACTGTGTACAAGTAACAGACAGACATAGACAGGTAGGAACATAAAGATCTTATATATAAGCAGACAGACAGAGGGGCTATCAGGCAGACAGACATAATCACTGAGATGATGGTGTACAAACAGGCAGGCAAACAGAAAGACAGACAGATAGGCAAATAGACAGACAAACGGGAGTGTAAAGATCTAGTGTAGAACCAGACAAATTTCTAACTGGAATTCTTTTAGTCAAAAGAAAGATATATTAAAAGACTTTCTTCCTATCCTGCTGTATTAACAGTGGCTGTAACAACAAAAGGTATTTGCAATTAAACAGTTTTGATCAATAAAATGACTGCATGTACTTTGATTAATAATTAATTTTGGAAATCAAACTGTAACCATATTAATCCAGTTAATCAAAGAACTTAGAGAAAAGCTAGGGGGTTCAGTGGTTGTCTTACTCTGAAATAATTCCATTTGATTGGTTAGCTCTAATTTCCCCATCCTACCCTGCAGTTGACCAAGCTTCACCAGTTGGCTATGCAGCATTCCCCCTTTACTCCCCTTGGGCAGAACAACCCCACCTTCCCTGGTACGTACCCAGCACCTCCTGGGAGTCAGTCTCCCTCTCACCTCCTGTGCTCATGATAACATTTCTTTACAATGTGCCCAGTGACCCTTTTCTGTTCCATCTTACCAAATCTGTCCTTGTTACCATTTCATGTCCATCCCATGGTAATATCACATGGCACCCAGGGGTTTGAATACAGGTGTTACAGCAAAAAACTTGTGGCCATTTTCTTTGTGGCCAAAGGCTTAGAATTCTAAGAATTCTAAGACTCCTATTTATCTGATAGGTTTTAATTATACTAAACCATTGCTTTACAAGACTGTGAGCAAATTAGCACTAGTTTGACTCATATCTTGTCATTCTGATGTATTTGTCTAGTATTTATATAAAACATATAACAGACAGTGTTTTAAAACAACTGCTTCTAATATGTTATATGTTCTAAGACCTTAATTGTAATTTCATAGTATATATTTTGTAATGAACATGATTACAGGTAAATTCAGTTAACTGTGTTTACTCTAATGTATTTTAGTTGAATAACCCAATGAATGAATAACACAAACTGTGGGGGTGAGGAGCAACAGTGCTACCTACAGAGTGGCCTTGTAAATTCTGTGGGATTAAGGACTGGAGAGGAGTTTGCTCATTTGAGATGTCCTTTAATTTCTATTTCACCAGGTCGTTCAGGCACAGTTTAGAGTCTGCTTTGGGTCTTTATTTTGCTAAAGAATGAATACCTGTGCATTTAGCCTTAATTCTCATTGGGTAGCGTACCTTTGAAATATACTATGATAGCAATGATAGTTGAGATCGCAGTAGATGTGGAAAATATCTTCAGCCTGGTCACCAGCAATGAAACCCCAGACCATGGCACCAGGTTTAGCAGAGATAACCACTCATGAAAATCTAAAATTAAAAATTGCAGATAATTATAGCTGTGGTGTACTCAAACTATTGACTGTTACTGTGTATGGATAACTTCATGAATATGGACTATGGTCTTTTGTTTTCTTACGTACTCATTACAGAAAGCCTCCTAACAAAAATGGAGTGGAGTGAAGACCAAAGTACTCAATTTTAGCTATATAAATGGGTTACGTTGTAAGTTGTCTTTTGCTTTTGATTAGAGTGGTGATGTAAAATATGCATCTCTTTACTCTTGACATTAAAGCCCATAGCTTCTGGATTTACTCTGGCCCTCCCCAGAGTTTCTGTGATTAGCTGTGGCTCTGACCACCCTGAGCCACATGCGATCGCAGCTGATGGCTGGTATCTTCCAACCTGTCACCTTATTAACCTCAGTGGACCTCCGCTGGGCCGCTGTGCTCATGAATACCATGCGTGCATTAGGTCAGGCCTTAGGTTTCTATCCACACAAACATATTCTTCATTTGAATTTTTCTTTTTCTCAAAATGCCCATAACATTAGCAGCCAAAACAGCAAATGAGCTCCTAGTCCCCAAAACTTGGCTTCCCCACATGTGTACAGAGTCCCACTCGCAGCAGGGCATGTTTTTTGCGTTTTCCCAATACATTGTTCATTGTGTTTCTCAAATGCAGGCCTGGACACAAGCACACCAGCCAGTTCTCATGAGTTCACCATTCCCAATGACGTAAGTCTTTGTCTGAATCGTTTTCTAAACTCATCCCGTCATGGACCCGAGATAACCTTTTACCTTTTCATAGTTACCTCAGCACATTAATCTAGTCCCAGACCCGTTTCAGGTGTATAATGAGGACAGAGTTTAAACAGAGTGTTCAGCAATATTTCTGTGCTGTGCCTTATTTATGCAATGTAGAATGGGAATTGTTTATAGAGATCATTTTATAATTATGTTTAAAAAGATCATGAAGGAAAAACTAATTAAAATGACAAGCACATTATCAAACTGAAATTGTCTAGAATAGTAACCCCTTCCCAATCACAAGGGTCAGGGGCAGAAGATCCTCACAAATGTGAAAATCTGCAAAAAATATTTATATTATATTATATATATATATATATATATATATATATATATATATATATATATATATATATATATATATATAT